AAGTATATTTCATTGGATGAATAAGTCATAAGCTCAGATACATACATATGTACATATATGTAAAAGGAGAGCCGCGGCCCTTGCCGTGGCTCACAACGTTTCCGCTCGTTTTAGTTTTCTTTACTTTATTTGCGGCCTTACTTTAGTCCTGTGGTTTAATCGTTAATTCCCTTGGGTTCCAATTCTCGTTCATAGTCTACAGAACTCAAATTTGAAGCTCCCCCAAAACCATCCCGATACACTGATGCATTCAACTGGGTTTATTCATTTATTCATTTGGTTACTTACTTTTGTACTTCCGTTGGACTTTAGAGCTGGCAAGCTCTTTGGTTCAAAACTTGAATGCCAAAGAGTTTTGATCCCCAAAAGAAAGCGAGGGAAAGGGTGCAGGAGGGAGGTGGAAAAGGAGAACCAACCCAAACACTTACTTACAAAAGTATTTTACCGTTACGCTCTCCCCTGTGTCATAACAATGGGACTTCGCCAATTTCATGGCACCCAAATTGTTCTTAGTTTGGGGCTGGGTGGGGGTAGGGGTAGGGTATCGCTTGGGTTGGGAATTTTAATATTAAGCTAAGCTGTCTCTGCTTCTTCTAGAGCATTTTGAGAGTTTCTTGTTGAGTTTTCCACCCCTGCCGCGTGCCCAGCGAAAAAGTTTTTTTTATCTACAGCCAAATAGTTTTGGACTATTTCTCCATCAATTTTATTGGTAATACTTAGACAAAAGTTTATCCACATTACACTCACACACACAGTAGATAGGGGGGACAGTTGGAGTGGAAGAGGAAGAGGAAGACAGAACGAGAGTCCGAAATCCTTAAATGAAAGGATTCAATGCGTAAAGTTGGTTGAGTTTGGCCCGAGATTTCTTTTTTCATTTTGTAGGAATAAGAGAAGCCTTTTGTACATCTTTTCTTTTTGATAAATTTCCAAGTAATGCTTTTTCAGTGGATGCTGGCGAGGGATAAACTAATAAAATGGGTCCCAAATGCTCGTCGGCTTAATTTTAATTACTGGCTTGGGCATTCGTCTCCTCCTTCTTCCCCACCGACTCTATCTGCGGCGACGATTGAGAGTGCGGAAAGTTTTGCCAACTTGTAATTATCACTCACAACATGCAGTCGAGCATCCCTTGCCCTCTTCTCCTCCCTCATTCTGGTTAAACACCTGACAAACTGACAACTACAAACGGAGGGAGGTCCAAACTCCCCCACACATAGCCACACAGCCACCCGCACACACGTGTAGCTTAATTAATAGACATCACAAAGTGCTACACCGCTCTGTGGGGAGTACGGGTACCCGTATATTACCCGTGCCCCGAAATTTGACATGATGTAGCACAATTCTGGCCACAATAATAACTTACATTTTAAGCCAATTTGAAAATGGCAACACAAAAAAGAATTTCCATTTTCACAGTTAAATAAAAATTAATTACAACAATTTATCGTCGTCGTCGTCGCACCAGCCGCAAAAAATGTATGGAAATGCTGGCTTGCAGAGGCATCGACAGGGGGGTTACCCTAGACATTCCATATTCAAAATATATTACATTAGTTATACGAGTAGTGGAGGAGTGGCTTTTTATTTGACTGAACAGGTCTGAATATCCAGGTTTTTTTTTGTCCAATGAAAGAAGGCCCCATACATCACGAGAGCGAGGAAGCGAGTGAACCCGGGGTTGGTACACGACTATATACGAGTCTTTTTTTTGCCTAGCTCTTCCAACCGCGACACCTGTGGAACTGGTATGGAATTTGGAAGATACGAGAAGGAGTGATAAGGAGTGATCAGAGATAAATGATCATAGGGAACGAAGAAAGAAGTAAGCAGAAAGGAGTTTCAACAGATTAGTAAACCTAACCAGATATAAGTTGTTATTGGCTCGAATCGGATTAGGCCGAGTTCCACTGTTTCTTTTCTACTCAAATGATGCAATATTCCATTGTTGGCCCTATGGTCGTTCACAACTTTCTAAAGGGTACACAAACGAGAGCAGTTACAAGGCGAACAACCCTCGGGACAACTGCCCCGTCCAGCTTGAAAAGTCCTGTCCCCCATCTTCTCCACTTACCGCACCAGTCCAAAGCCTGGTCGTTATATGCGGCTTGCTGCTGTTAAAACGCAAATGTTAAACCCTTTCGGTAATGCAAAATAATTGCTACGGTTCGTGGTCCGAGTTTACCAGAGTTCCGCAGAAAAAAATTTCAAAAAAAAAACAGTACCGAACAGAACAGAACAAAAAAGAAAAACGTCAAAACGTAATATTATTTTCCCTCTCCTCCGCTCTCATCTCCCGGTTTCTGGCTACAGTTTGGGTTAACAGAAATTAGAGCAACGGAAAAGTGGGCGTGTGCCGGGTTCCGTTTCATTTAGTTTTCAGTTTCCACCTAATTTACCCAATTGGGTAAAAGTGCTTTGTCATAATCAGCCCGGGAGCAAGGTTCGCATATCTAATGAATGAATAGAAGGGCCGTAGAAGGGTGGGGCCAGGGATCCGCTGCCTGGCCTGGGACCTGGGAGCTACAGAGACAGAGGAGGTGCTGGACCAGGCTCCACCTCCGGACCCGGCTTCGGCTCCGGCTCCATTAAGTAAATGTTCATGAATGAATGGGTCTTCGCCTTTCTCCGCTGGGCACATATTTACCGAGTTGCTAATAGGCTGTCACATAATTAGCCCTGAAACAACCTAAATCGGACCACCAGCATCAAAACAAAAACAAAAACAAAAAAGAAAATAAATAAAAGGATAGGAAAGGAAAAGAGTTGGAATAAAATGGAGAGACTGACATTAACATTGGCTTTGATGGAAGTCAAAGATGACCAAACGATAATGTCCAAAGATGTCCTAATGAATCTTACGGCAGATTCGGGGTTCTGGCCCTTTCCTGATAGCGCTGGGGATTAGGGATTGAGGTTTTTTGTTGTCCTTGGGGGAGAGATCTAGAAATCTGTTAGGAGTGTTTACTCCCCATTAAGATAAAGAGTGACGAATGAGATTGAAGGGAAGGGCCAAAATGCATATTTGTGGAAGCAAAAAGGAGTAAGGAACAGAAAGGAAAGATTATCCCACCCAGGAGTCGTAGAGCCCTAAATGATTTATACATAAGTCATGAGATAGAATGTCCATGAAAGAGTATCAAAATGTTTACCGATTATTTTCTTAGAGGTATCGTGAATGGTCCGGTCTTTTTCACCAATTTTCACCATAAATAAACGGCAAATTGCCTTTAAAACTTTGAAAAAATTCTCTCTTCTGATATCCCTGCAAATCTCTACTTTCCAATATTCAAATTGAAAATAAGAAATCCCTTAACTATCATTTAAAGATTAGGGAATAGAAAGATTCCTTCCATGGGCTAACCGGACCCGTGCATCAATTTCAGCTTGTTGAATGTGTCTTCCTCCTCCCTTCGCGCCCCTGCCAACCCATATCATTTCCAATAAACAGAGAGAGAGAGACCACCCCCTTCCAATCTTTACCTGATTTGAGGTAAAAATTCTCTGCGCCTTCCCAGAGGTCGCATTAGACAAAAAGCAAAAAGCCGAAACTGACTTTGAAAAATGGCAAACGATTGAAGGGAATCGCCTGACCGACCCGAGAACCCTACCACACCCCACTCCCCGCCACATACCCCCAAGCCAGGGGCTGCATAAAACAGTTTGCATTAAGCGCATTTTGCATGGCTGTGTTGCAATTAACGATGCAGAGCAGCTGCAATCAAGCAGCATGTACAAACGAGCATAAATATTTCTGATATAGTGATATAAAAGAACATACATGCACACACGTACATACATATACATATACATATACGAGAATGCGAGAGGGAATGCAATTCGATGATTATTGTTTCAACGCCTCAATAATTCTGAAAATGTTGTTTTTTCCCGTTTTCGAAAAATGGTCACAAAAATTAAAAAAAAAGGAATATACATATATATATATATGTACATACGTACATACAGCACAAACAGCGATGAAAGGGGGAGAGGAATCGAGCAAATATTTGTTGCAGCAATCCAAACTCTGTTCCCTGACTGTGACTTTGTTCTGGCCACGTTGTAAGTTGACCATGAGAGATGGCCATGATGACGATGATGATTGCCATGGCTCTCTGTACGAATGTACGTATGGACGTGTGTATATGCAGAAACGTGTATATGGCAATGGTCAATGCTAATTGCCAATTATGGACAAATTCGTTCGAGCGCGAAATTAAATTAACCCCTTTTTTGCGCCGATCCCTGCCTGAAATCCGCCCAAGCCGAGCACACAAAAATCCGCATCTGCAATCCTCGACCGCGTCATCAATCAGCCCCAGCAGCAAAGGAAGCAGCAACGCAACAGCAGGGCAGGCCACACGAGGCGACAAAACACAAACTACGCTATGTGCGAATATGAAATATTTATGCACACATTTCACAGGACTGTTGCGGCACGGATACGCGGCACAGCCGAATTGGTTGGAGGTTTGCCTGCTTCCTGATCCGCCATCAGATGAGGGAAGGCTCTTAATAAATATACAATTTATTATGGCCAGGTAATGGTTTCCTGGCCCATCTACTTACACCTGAATTTGGAGTGAATTGATCGCTGGATGTGTATCGCCGATCTATCTGGAATATGTTCTAGTCCCAATGTGAACCCAATCTCGTATAGAGTAGCCCCCATTCGGTAATGCGCAGATTCCAATCCAACAACACCTGCTTATGTTTTTTATCCGACCAAACAAAAAACCGCCGTATGCGAAACATATCGATCTGAAATTGTCAACTCGAAAGCCCAGAAAGCAGGAGGTAAAAAACGAAACCTATAATACCCCGCAAACACGTTAAGTGCCGAACAGAATCGGAATGATTCAGGCCCTCTCCTCTCCCCAACAAGTCAGTGCATTGAACGCATATAATACAAGCTTGTGAAACGATAGTTTTCCTTGAAACGAATGTAATTGCATTTAATTTTTGTCATGGCTTTCACGGGGCAGAAAGCCCTTTTAAGTTTTAACATTTTTAACAACAATTTTAACAACACGCATCGCGTCAGATTTTCAATGTTTGGTTATGACAATGAATGTAATACGGGGGGATATAATTCCCTTTTCGAGGCTGCTGCTCCTGTGGCTTGGTCTGGCAGCTGACACGCGTACATGGGTTGGGTATTGTGGTATGAACATGATTCGGATTCGGAAAATACTCGTCCTGGGCGCATTGTCTTAACGCATCAGCGGCCATTGTTGTCAATGAATTCAATTGAAAAGCTCCTCAAAGGGTAAACAACAACAAAAGACTAATCAAATGTATAGTCAATCGAAAGGGGGATTGTCGCAAAAGTATGACTAACCTTCTGCAAAGATGTGTATGTTTATGTATACGGAGAAAGAAACGGAGAAATTTTCCTTCGATTTCTTTCCATTCAAGGGGGGCATCCTCTAAGCATCCTCTTCTTCGCCCAATGCCTCGTCGGAGGCGGTACGCAGCACGGCCACCGTATAGCCCCCCGATGGCGATGTACGGATGTGAGTGCCCCGCATATTGAGGAAGCGCTGACGCATACGATCCCGCCGCTCCTGATGGCGCTGCTCGATGAGCTCATCAAAATCCACTGGCGAATAAATAGGATATTTATTCAGCTATGTGTGGGACTGCAGAAAGCTTACCACTGGCGGAATCAAGTCTACTGGGTCTACGCCGGCGTGGTCTGTCCTCCTCCGGACCATCCAGGGGCTCGGTGAAGGTCAGTCGCGAGATGTCCTCCCAGGTGGAGCGACGGCTCGGATGATAGTTTTCCGCGAAACTAGCGCTGCTGGAATGCTTGTCCAGCATATAATTGAGAAAGTTATCGCGCCCACTACGGTTGGTTGCAGTCGAGTCTCGGGACATATGGAATCTCCTTTGCTCCGAGTTAGTGGCTCTGTAGTCCAGTTTGGCCGTAGAGGCCTCGGGCGGGCCCGTCCGTTTCGCGTCGTCGGCATAGGGCAGCTCGTTAGGGAAGACTTCGTCCCAATACTGATCCTTGACTAGTTCCGGATGCTCCTGGTGCATCTCATCGACAATCAGATAGGAGACTGTCAAATTGCGATCTATCATCCAATTGAGCTGCGAATATGGGAGAGTACTGGAGTAGTGTTGGATGAATTATAGGTGGAGTGGAGTCCAAGCAACCTCAAAGTCGTCGTCGTCCTCGCCAAAGGGGTTGATCAAGGACTCGGCCACCTTCAGCCAGCCCATGTAGAAGAAGAACTGCAGAATTGTGAGGAAGGGAAACCATTGCTCGACTCTGTTGGGTGAGCCGCCAGCATCGGCGACTTGTGTCCACTGCTGGCCAATCACGCTGAACAGGAAGAAGGTGTAGGTGGCCAGGGTGACCACCTGGGTGTACACCAGCGGCACACTGACCCAGTCGTAGTACAAGAGGAATCCACAGAAGCCGCGGAACTTGTTCAATTCATCGATGATTGTTTTGACGGCATAATCATCTCGGATCTTGTTCTCCTTTCGGGCTCTCATCACGATGCTGGCGGCCCAGACGATGGGCATCCAGTGCTTGGGATAATGGGGGAAGGCGATGTCCATGTTCTCGATGATGGCCTTTTCGTTCTCCAGCAACAGCCCGGAGTCGATGATCTGATTGTAGGTGGGAAATCTCTTCTTGACATTCGGCGATATCATCGTGAAGACAATCACCTGGCACAGGCACACGTACCGCAGTATGGTGCGACGCATGGCCCGAGCCCGATCGTCGAACCCCTGGATGCTGGAGCTGACCAAGATGGCTATAGAGTCCGGCCATGGTATGGTCGTATACTGCTGCCACCAGCGGCCCATCACAATGGAGACATAGAAACCGAGCACAAAAGACAGCGGCAATAGGTTGCCGTGCATATTGCAGTAGTATACAATGCCCTCGAAGACCCTACAAGTTTTTGGTGTTTTTAATTAGGGATAGTTAGGATCTCAGATTATAAAGACACCAACTCTTGGGCCTTTGCGCTCATCAGCATTCGATAGGAGATGGCCAACAAGCAATACAGTGAAAAGAAGATGAACAGATCGATCCAAACCAGCTTGTAAATACTTCCGCGCCATCTAAGAGAGGGGACAGACTTAAGGGACATTTTTCAATCTTCCTTTTAACTCACCTGAAAAGCAATTTCAGAAAGTTGCTAATAACCTTCGAGGTGTTTACGTTGGCTGTATAGGTCACAGTCATAATTAAAGGAATAAGAATTCTGGATAGAAAGTATCTCCGAACTGACAAAACTATGAATCTTTTGACAGTCAAGGCAGAGTAAACTTAAGGCAGTAGACACCTCAAAAGAATGTTGCTTGAACTTCATTCACGACTAGTTCTCAGAGAAGACTACTTCGTAGGCTGCATCTATGTTTCTGGCCTAAATATGAAGAAACGAGCTTGCGTGGTCGACGGACATTTTCATGTGAAAATTTCAGTTCGTTTCGGAGATGAATTTTTTGTTTATCGTTAATCGATATCAAACGCTACCGTACAAGGAAAGCTTATGTGTAGGCTCATCGCAGAAAACACCAACCCTTTTAATGCAAACGACCATTGTGTCCAGTCCTAATAAGGCTGAAAGTGTCCTAGTCCAGAAACTTGAACTTAAACCCAAACTTTTGATCAGAATTATGCAAACAAAACACAACTAGGAGAACAGTGTGACCATAGTTGCGTGTTGTCTGTCCACACTCATTTACAGTACAGAGTACGCGTTTGGAGTTACGAGTATGGTAATTTTTATTGAAGTCAGTTTCGTGCAATACATATTTACTTGTCCTTTTTCTTGCTTATGTGACTCTTGTCTGTCTGAATTTCTGTGTCCTTGCGCGTTTGCCTGCCGTTGTCCTGCTCCGAGGCCCCACCCGAACTGGTTCCAGCGGGAGCTTCGCCCTTCATTAGCTCCAGCGTCATGGCAGCATGATGGATTTGACGAGTCATGCGTTCGCGTTCCCGCTCCGCCTTCAGACGGGCAAAGTCGTCCTTGCTTGTCTCGCGACTCAGGTGTTCCTCCTCGCCCAAATCCTCTTCGAACCGTGAAAAGTGTTCATCCGAGGAAACTGAGATGGACACAGAGCTCCTGCTGGGGTGGATTTCATGCGGGGCGAATCGGATGCGCAGCTCGTTCTCGTCCTCGTCATCGAAATCGGTCCAATCCGGCTCCAGATCGACGCTGTGAGCCTTGTACGGAGCCGTTGTCAGCGTGTTGATCTTGGACAGGTCCATCCTAGCTGTAGAAGCCTCCGGATGCTCGGCCCGCTGTGCCTCCGCTGCATAGGGCAACTCGTTTGGGAAGACCTCGTCCCAGTACTGATCCCTAACTAGCTCCGGATGATCGTTGTGCATCTCGTCCACGATTAGATAGCTCACTTGAAGATTGCGGTCGATCAGCCAGTTGAGCTCAAAGTCGTCATCGTCATCTCCGAAGGGACAGATGAGCGTCTCGGCCACCTTCAGCCATCCCATGAAGAAGAAGAACTCCAGGGTGCTGAAAAGCGGAAAGTAATAATTGATCACGTTCCTGTATCTGCTCTCGCCGCCAGACTGCTTATCGATCCATTGATGGCCGAATATGGCGGCCATGAAGTACGTATAGACCGCCAGGGTCACCACCTGCGTGTAGACCAAGGGAACACTGATGGTGTCGTAGTGGATGAGCATGTTGCAGCCAGCCCGAAACTTGTTCAGCTCGTCAATCATGGACTTGAGGGAGAAGTCGTCCCAGATGCGCCCCTCCTTCCTGGCGCGCGTCACAATGCTGCTGGCCCACATGATGGGCATCCAATACTTGGGATGCTTGGGAAACTTGGCGTCCATGGCCTTGATGATGTTCGCCTCGTTCGCGTTGAGCAATCCCGCCTCAATGAGGTAGTCGTAGTTGGGGAAACGCCGCTTAATCACCGGCGATATCATGGTCAGGACCATTGTCAGGGCCAGGCACACATATCTCATGATGGTGCGACGCATGAGTCGTCCGTGCTCATCCTGACCCCGCACCAGGGCACTCACATACACCGCCAGGGGATCTGGCCAGGGCACTGTGATGTACTGATTCCACCAGCGATCTACAATGATGGACACGTAGAAGCCCAGAACGAACGAGAGCGGTATCAGGGTGCCATAGCTGTGGCAGTACACGACAATGTCCTCGAAGATCCTGAGAATCAGATTTGTGAGCGGGCTATGTATACATATGTGGGTTGGGGCCCTATAAAAACTCACACTTTGTCACTTTCCCTGAGGACATAACGGTACAGCAGGGCCATGCAATAGAAGCTTGCCAGAAACGCCAATAAATCCACCCAAATAATCTTGTAGATACTGGCACGCCATCTGCCGATTACGGTCATAGATGCTTCAATGGACAGCTCTTTTCCAATAATCAAAGATATCTTACCTGGCCAACAGCTTCCAGAAGCAGCCAAAATGGCGGCACGAGGCCACCTCGGCTGTGTACGAAACCGTCATATTCCCGCTATTAGGTATTCCAATTTGAGAACTTTAATATAATCTTCGCGAGACTGAGACTGAGACAGAGACTGAGAATCGATTGTGGCAATACACAAGCACTTTGTGAGGCCATAAGCACAGCCAACTTTGGAATTAGTTTGCTTGGGGCAATTTTCTTACTCAAGCATTAAACGAAGGCAATCTCGGTAGGCGCGTCACATTTGTGGGCGTAATTATTTAAATTAGATCATTTATATTTGCCACAAGGCGGTAGACAACACATACCCAATTTTCCTAGAGCCCCCACACATCCAAGCATCCAACTCTTCCTCCTTTCATAAGTACTTGTACATTTACACACATACACACATACATAGATGTACATATGTATACTCGTACATGTAGTTGGGTCTGCTGGGAGGTCTGGGGAGCATTAAATAGGTGCAGTAAAATTTTAATACATTTTGGGTGGAATGGCAGTGAAATTTCCCAACTCCAACCCAAGGGAAAGTGTGAAGAACATTTTGAGCATCTGATTAGCATTGGAAGCGTGTAGTATTTGTTATTATTGCTGATACCCCTCCATACAGCCAATAAACTCGCATGTTGAGTAATCCACAAAACTGAAAAAGGTGAAAATAAATGAAAGCACGTGACGCATCGATAAAGTTTGATTCTTGGTCTAGTAATGCCTACAATCAGTTAAGAGATAATATAATACATACGATTAGTTAATATTGCTTGAGCGCCTCGCGATTCCGCCTCACAATCTTATTCTGAAATTAAGCATTTATTCGGCTTCTTCTAAGATATTTTTATACCTGGTACTCGAAGAGTTTATCTGTGGTGGATGCGTGTAACAGCCAGAAGGAAGCGTTTCTGACTACATAAAGAATATATTTTCTTAATCAGAGTCAATAGTCGAGTGGATAGAGCCATGTCTGTCTATCCGTCCATTCACCTTTATGAACGCCTAGATCTCAAAGGATGTATGTAAGTGCTAGAGCATCCAGACTTCTGTCATGTGACAAGTGTAATTTCAAATATTTCTCCGCCCTCTTCCTCGTCCAATGCGTTGGCACGCTGAGGTGAACGAAATATGGAACCATTATGCATCATACATCATAAAATGATATGTATGTATACTAACTGAGTATAACAGGGTATAACAGTAAAGCTGCGTCCCTTGCCACGTCACAAAACGTTCCCACTCGTTTGGTAATTTCTCAATTTATTGAGATAAGAGAGCCGTCCTACAACGATTAAGCCAGGGCCTCTACATATGTACATTTTTTTGTAGAATATATATCTTTTGACCATTTTTTTTTCCAAATAACTAACTTCATTGATTGTGATATCGAAAATGTGGATTGAACTTCAAACCAGAAAGGGATTTAAAGTTGAAGGAGCCTTATGAAAACGTAAGTTGGATACTTTTTTAGGCTTGAACAATATTAAATTTAAAAGACGATTTGAAACTTGTCTACGAGTGAATTATTTTTTATTGCAATTCATTCTTTGTTATCGTAGCATTAGTAAACTATCGGCTGCGACTGCTCCGATGGATGGTGAAGCTGTATAATTTTCGGAATGAAATTAAGGATGGCCAGTATTAAGCGGAAGTTCCAAAGATAAATATGTAAATACTGTATGTATTTATATGTCTGCATGGACATATGATATTGGGACTGGTCATGTTTGGAGTTTGATACATTTTATCCAGCATGCAATGTCCTGCCCTTTGGCAAAAAGTGTCTTTTCGAAGCTCACATTCATCAATTTAAATCGATCAATATGTAAAATTGACTGTCAATTGATTGATACAATTTTGTACAATTAACTGTGAGTTCTGAAGTCAATATGTTATTGTTTACCGATGATTTCCCGTATTAGTGAGTATATTTCCATGCATATTTACAGCTGCACATCGTATTTACCCAAATGTTTATTCGAGATTCCATTCTCTTCCTCTCCTTCTCTACTACAAAGCGCATCCAAGCTTATCAACCGACTCGACCACTTCACCCAGTGTATAAATTGACACTCGACAACCAATAACAACAGCAACAGCAACAATTCTAAAGCGCATCTATACGACTGTATTTGTGTGCGTCTGTGCGATATTATTTCATTCCCCTGTACACCGGTGCACCGGTAGGGTACTACGAGCAGAATACGGAATACGAGTATTCCGAGGCCTCTCCTCTCGTATATATCAGGCAGAATATTATCTTACACTTTCAGTTAACGTTATGCGCTGAAAACGTCAACAACAGAGAAGCAAAGAGCGAGCGAGAGAGGAAGAGAGAGTGAGAGAGAAGAGAGTACAAGGGAGTGATAGTGTGAGCCAATTACGGTACGTTTAAATCTAAAGCCGAAACGGTAGATCGGACATAAAGTAAAAGAAATCATAAAACAATAATCTTATCTAAAGAACAACAACAGTCTGAACAGTGCGGTGCGGTGTGTGGGTGTGCCGTGTCGAGCACAGGGGAGTGAGTGCGGTAAAATCTGTTGTGTTGTTTCTGCTATCGCAAAGATCATAAAACGAAAAAAAGGGAGACAACATGAGCAAAAACGGCATACGGCATGCGACGTCACACGGCGTGATTCAGAGCAGCGGCAGCATCTTCCCGTTCTCCCTCTCTCCCGCCGGACAAAAATACATACATATGTACATACATACATACGTATGCATATCTGCTAATTTTTTGCTGTTGTTGCATTCGCTCCAATTACAACCCAGATCATCTACCTCTCTCACTCCCCTCGCCACACCTGACTTAGGTGATCGTGGGGAGGGAGTCGTCGTTTTCGAAGTCGTCGTCTCTTATCAGTTTGCCTCGGGCACACACAAGCTGTTTTTCCACTCTGCGTCTCCCTCTGCCTGATCTTGGCTGGTCGACGGCAACGGCGACCGCGACGGCTACCGCTCTCATCCGGCTGAGGTTCGGCTTCGTCTTATCTTAAGAGTAATACGAAGACGAATTCGCGTCTGTAATACTAGTCCGACACCCGCGGTGGCCTGGTCAGAGCAGTCCAAGACAGAGACAGACACAGACGCAGATCGCCAAGTGTGTCAGTCACACGTTCTGTCCATTTTTCCATTATTGTTTTTTGTCTTGTGTGAAATTAATAAAAGACTTTCCATTCCGATATTCAGCAATAGGCTCAAATACTTTCCCATTCTGAGCTGGACACAATACTCTTAATTACAGAAAAACGCCAACGCCTGGTAAGTGTTTCAGTGGCTCATTCAGATGATAATTATATAAATCTAGCATAAGTTTCTATTCGACAAGCCCCACCTGTGCTCGTAATTATCTTAATGTGCAAAGAGAGGATAAGTATAATAATAGAAATGCAAACAAAGCTGGGGAAGATACTGTCTTGAGCATCCGATGAGTGGGTGGGCGAGTGCCTAGCTTAGTCACCTGCTAGAAACATAGGAGCCATAGGCGCCGGGCCACTGAATAGAATATGTAATAATCTTCAACAAATATCCAATTTGTCATTCCGCTCCCTTGTCTTGAATTGTTGGCATTCTGCAAGAAATAGGGGGACATTTCATTCTACAAATCTCCTTCATTCGAAAAAGTCCATAAGAAACTTCCCCAGACTTGAGTTCAGTCTCGTCCCTGCAAATGGTATGGTAGAAAACCTATACGATACGGCTGTATAGGTTGCTCTAAGTAGAGCAATCGAGTTCGAATTTGATGCTAACAATAGCCTCGTCTCACCCCGGCTGGGGCTATTATTACGATTACAATTTGAGCTCAATTATTTGCATATAATCGTATAATCGAAAGCTGCGCCAAGATAAGACAACAAGACATTAGACACAACACGAACTCGCAGTCGTACATAGATCGAAGTGCATCATGATCTTGGTGTGTACATACCTCAGCTAAGATGGGATTTTTTCGCTTTCCAGCTTCAAGGTTTAGTGAACTTATCGCGCATCAAGAGGGAAGGAGACGGAGCGAGAGATGGTTCAACAGCTTTCGCCCTGGAAGGTTCTGACACGACGGAAACGTATCCAGGCCGATGGCAGTGAGGGCGAAACCAAGCTGAACCGGGTGCTGGGACTATGGGATCTAACGGCATTGGGAGTGGGCTCCACTCTGGGAGCGGGGGTCTATGTGCTGGCCGGACAGATAGCCAAAGATCAGGCGGGTCCCTCGGTCATGATCTCGTTTGCTATAGCCGCTCTGGCCTCGCTACTGGCAGGTAAGGACGCATCTTGAGATCTCTGTTGTCTGGAGCAACTTCATTAACGTTTCGTTCTCCGACTTTAAGGTATTTGCTATGCAGAGTTTGGCGCTCGGGTCCCCAAGGCAGGATCGGCCTATGTGTACAGCTACGTCTGCATTGGAGAGTTTGCTGCCTTTGTGATTGGCTGGAATCTCATCTTGGAATACGTCATAGGCACTGCCAGTGTCTGTCGAGGGATAAGCCTGTATCTGGACTCCCTCCTGAATGATACGTTGAAGGAAACCTTTGCCGAGGTGGCCCCCATGAATGTCACATTTCTCGGAAGCTATTTTGACTTTCTTGCATTTGGATTGGTGGTCGTGTTCGGTGGTATGTTTCGGAGAAGACTCTCCTCAAATTGATTGCTGATCGATTTCTGACTCCTTTAGTGGCCCTGGCCTTTGGCGTGGAGACCTCGGCAATGGCAAATAATTGCATCACTTGTCTGAACATCTTTATACTGGGCTTTGTCATCATAGCCGGCGCTATCAAAGGTAATATTTTGTATTCTGCGAGTGACGGAAATCCCTGAGAGTATTACTAAATTAATTACCCAGCTGACTTCACCAACTGGACTGTGGACCCATCGACTGTGAGTGCCAATGCCACAATTGGATCTGGGGGTTTTTTCCCCTTCGGTTTCGAGGGGACTCTCCAGGGCGCTGCCACCTGCTTCTTCGGATTTGTGGGCTTCGACTGTATCGCCACCACTGGGGAGGAGGTTCGCAATCCCCGCAAGAACATCCCACAGTCGATCCTGCTCTCCTTGCTTATAATCTTCCTGTGCTACTTCGGCGTCTCCACCGTATTGACCCTGATGCTGCCTTACTATCTGCAGGATGCCAATGCTCCGCTGCCGTACGCCTTCGAGTACGTGGGCTGGCCGGTGGCCATGTGGATCGTCACGGTGGGTGGACTGATCGGACTCTTGGCCAGTCTTTTTGGGGCTTTGTTTCCCCTGCCCAGGGTTATGTACTCAATGGCGCAGGACGGCCTGCTCTTCCGGTTCCTGGGAAAGGTGAGCCCGCGATTCCATGTTCCTGTGACCGGATCGATTGTGGCCGCTCTCTTTACGGCCGTCATTGCGGGCCTGTTCGATCTGGCCCAGTTGGTTAGCCTTCTCTCCATTGGCACTCTACTGGCCTACAGCGTGGTGGCCATTTCCATAATGCTACTCAGGTACATGGAGTACTATGAGGCGGAGGAAAACCAAACGCGGATCGATAGTCGAGCTTCGGAAACCACTTCATTGACCTCCAGGGCGGAGCGTTTCACCTGTGGGTCGGTCTGCGCTCAGCTCTTTAACGTTCATCGCGTTCCTGAGCCAAATAGGATATCGACTAGAATTGTAGGAACGCTGACTGCACTTTTCAGTGAGTATACAAAAAAAAAAAAACAAGCAGTATCTAAAACTAAAACATTGATATGTCTTTCAGGTCTTATTGCCTTGGGTCTGGGCCTGTTGATTATGCACGCCTATTCCGCGATCAGGTCCCAAAAGGCGTGGGCCATAACTCTGCTGGTGGTGTTGATCGGGATGATCTGCCTGGTCCTCCTGCTGATCTGTCTGCAGCCCAGGGAAACGCGCAGTCGACTGTTCAGAGTGCCCTTCGTGCCAGTGGTGCCGGCCATCAGCATCTTTATTAATATCTACCTGATGCTGCAGCTGGACACCTGGACATGGATACGCTTCGGGGTGTGGATGATTGTGGGTAAGCTTGCGATTGCTGTGTGCTTCATTACTGCAACTACAGCAACTACTGAGCATGTGGTAGAATAATGCGACTAATGCATGTCACTTCTTGAACTAACCCTTTGTATTAAACACACCGTCTGTACTAACACACATAGGTATACCCATATTCCTTGCATGCTGGTATCTTTACGACTGTAAGAATCCACAGAAACGCAACCCCGATCGCTTGGCCTACTATACGGCCCTCAAAGGACCTTCGACAGCTGCCGGTAGTGCAGATAATGCAGGCAATGGTCTGTCCAAGGAAAGCGTAATCACCCAGGACACTCACTGGAAGAGCAGTTCCTGCAGCAGCCTGGATCGAATACAGAACCTAAGCGAGCTGGGGGAAGATCTCATCGAGGTGAAGAATGCCAATGGAAAGATCTTCTACGTGGAAGACACCAAGAGCGAGAACTCCACCGCTACCCTGGGCGGGACTGAATCACCCTCTCGCGAGGATGAACAGTCCGTTATAGCAATGCTCGATGATGTCCTCGACGCGGAGGACATACAGCAGCAGCAGCTGGAGCTAAACCAGCAGAATCACATCTTTGAGCGCCACTTCAGCCTGGACTCGGAGATGTACCCGAGTGTGATAGAGACCGTCATCGTGGCCACTGTCCATAGTAGTAGTGAGGACGATGAGGTGGTCAGTCAGCAGTCTGTGAAGCTGCGGAAGTATACGCACGATGAATGCCGAGTGTTTGCTCAGCAAATGCTCGATGAGATGTTCAATAGCGTGGTCTTCTTTGAGCAGCTTGAGGCAGCCTTGGTGGCCCGAGAAGAGGCCGTACTAGCGGAGGTAAACGATTCAAGGGATACTATTAGAGACACGCCAAAGCTGAGGCGGCTCGCATCCGAGACGTCCCTCAGGTCTCAGGCCTCCTCCATCGAGGATCCCATGCATTCAGACAAATTTAAAGACCGCTTGAGTCACATCATTATGAATGCCAGTGCCCACAAGGTAAATACAGCCATGAGGAGGAAAGGGGAGCCCGAGCCCGAGGCCGAGACCGAGCCTGAGCCAGAGGAACCTGAACCAGAGGCAGGACCAGCGGGAAGGCCAGAAAGGACGCTGCTAAAGCAATCGAAAAGTGAAACCGATGTGCGTCGGTTAATGCTCAAGGCCATCAGCGAGCTGAAAATCAACCATAATGAGGATGGTAATGTTGGTGGGGACTCCTCAGATTCACATACCGCCCACCGCCACCCCTCCACATCCACGTCCACATCGATACAGTATCCGAACAGCAGCCACGGTAACGGCAGCGGCAGCGGCAACGGCAACACGGCTGGGCTTATACCTCGGCCACCGAAATTCGATCCAATTCTGTACAAGACCATCAACAGCATTAGTTTGCGCAAACAGCGACCCAGTTTGAGCCAACAGCATGTTGTGGATGCCAAGAATCTGGTGGTAGCAGCAACTGTAGCTTCCTCAACGGAACTAGAGCCGGAGCCGGGGCCAGGGCAGGGGCAGGGGCAGGAGCCGCAGTTGGTCCCATTCAAAGCGAAATTGGAGGCCATATTGCAGCGCGGACCCTCTCACCGCACCCAACAGCATCCGGACCCTGTCCGTCGCCAGCGTCCGCAGTCGACCCACGCTGAGCAGGAGACAGAGGAGGCGGAAAGCTGAATGGGGCTGGGGTGCTGTGCGGAGTGAAACCAAAGAGTGTGCAATATTTTTTCTTTTTTTTCCTAGCTGAAAGTAGTTAAACTTCCATGTGGACTGTAAAGAGCTGTAGATAAATAGTTGAATGTCAGCAATTTTCGATAGTATTAACAATGGAATTGTAGTGTTGTAGATCTTGAGATCTTCTAAAATCTCTAAAATACCTTCTATAGGTATATATGTATGTATATACATTAATATTTTTTTTCCTTGTATGCTGATATGGACGTTGTATTGTGATGGTAGAAAATTTAACTTGGGGTAGTTAAATATAGAATAACACACACTACCCGCACAATCCGTAGAGTCCTTGTCACGGTTATCATACTGAAACTAGTCGTAGACCATAAAATATATTTAATAAATTAAAAATGGTATTATAAAGGTGAAAGCAATTAGCCAAGTGCATGCCTGAACTGTTTTGTCAACAAATTTAACTAATTATATACATATGTGTATACAGGACTATCCATATACTTTCTGTATGGCCTGCCCAACAGCTACAGAGAGCTGCGACGACAAAGGGCTGGCTGGCAGAGACTCAAGTACAGCGAACGGCTCTGAAAATGGTATTTCCTTCCGAAATCAAATAATTATAGATCTATGAAGCTATATCTACATACAATATGTGAATGGATCACTAAGATAATATGATAAATTGTGAACAATTTGTTGGTTATAAATAAATGAAACTACATACATAGATGTAATTAATTAAAGTCAAATGTCTTACCTGATTGGGAGAGAAAGGACAGAAGTGGAAGAAAATAAATGTCGAGTTGCAGTTGCTGCAGCCGCTTCCGGAATCGAACCCCGGACGATCGTTCCGAGAGTGTGTTGCAGTATTAATAACCCAATGAATTGGGATCGTTCATTGTCGTTTAATTCCCAGTGGCCTTGTCTCAACTGGTCGTATCTCCCATGGGCCGTGCACTGGCTGACTTTGATAAATTAATTTATTTCGGCTGATCGTCTCTCTGAGAATTCCCCCTCTTCCCGGTTGCCCCTGCCCTGCCACGAAAAACCCCTTCCCTTCCCTTCCCAAAACGTTTGGTATTCCCTTTTGCTTTTGCTGTTGCTGTTGCTTTGATTTTGATTAGTCTGAAACATCCCCTTGGGCTGGGGCTGGGGCTGGAGCTGGGGATGGGGCTGGGTCTGAGGCTGTCTTTTGTAGTATACTCGTACGTAATGCCTTCCTGCCCCTTTGGCCCTACACTTACACTGTCCTGATTTATGCGGACGTTCGTTGGGGCATTTCTTTGGTTTGGTCAGGTCGCTCGAGCTGTTGATGCCAGTCTAGAGATTTGTCCAACCACAAGCCGAAACAACTGGCGACTGTTTGGCGACCCATCTCCTTACCAGAACTGGATCAGTCTGCTGTTCGAGCAGCATGGAATGCCATGCTATGCTATGGTATGGTATGCTATGGTATGGTATGGTATGGTATCGTATTGTTCTAGGGCGAAAGACGACGTTTGTGCTGCGTAAGTGTAACAAATTGTAATCGTATTTGGCGGGGACTTTGTCTGGGGCGTGCCCCAGAGTCTCCCCCGCTCTGTGTGTCTGAGCGGAGCTCCCCTCGGCGTGCCCTGCTCCCCTGTGCCCTATGCTTTGCTTTATTATTATTAACTTTGTTATGGGCCAGAGAGGAGTTGAAGAAGCTGCCTCAGAAGTCGTCCGGTGGTTGTTTTGGTTGTTTGCTACACTTGCTCCCTGGCTGTCCGCCCCCTTTATCTAGCCAACCGTTCAAATAGTTTTATGGCATATTTATGGGCGCCAAAACTTTAAGTTTCTTTGGCTAAGACTTTAAGACTGTCGGCAGGGCAGTCAGGTTGCTGGTTTTGGGGGGTGCCGAGTGTGGACGATGGTGGGGGTTGGTGTGGGTTGGCGTGACCCCGGAGAGCATTGACTCTGTGGGGCTCTGTGACAAATCGGCAAAGGGCGAAACTAATTATTGTAAAGGGAGAGACAGGGAACGGGAGACAGCTCATGATATTACATTCTATTGCGAGTCCACCGAGTTTTAAGGGTAAATACCAGTACGCATATGAATATTTAATACTCGCCTGTAGTTGTTTTCGGGCGGCAAAGGGGGGCTGCAGAAAAAACAATAGATTCGAAATGAGTAAAGAATATAAGAAATCAAAGAATGGACACAAATCTAATTCAATAATAAATCAAAAGACTCAAGGATTGACAAAACGATTTCCAGATTTCATTCCCATACCATTCCGGATCGTCTGCAATAAAAAATCCTCATTAATCCCGAAGTAAGGTTGTGTTTTTTCAAAATCCTTTTTAATGCAAGTATTTGAGTCTGCAAAAGCATATCTAATACTAGTGTTCGGAGCAGCAGCTGTCAATAGATCTAAAGATATCATCTATATTCCCTTCTAATATCTTCTATTGGAATCCATCAATGGAGAGATCATACTCGTAAATGTGGAGCAGGATTACGTACTCTCTTTGGCTAGCAGAAGCTTTCTCAAAGTGAATATGCCATCCACAATTCTCCGATGGCTGCCTGGCAGCGTTAACATATTAGGACTATGCTATGGAATCGATAACGAGAACGAATCTATTTGCTATATGGTCATATATGACTACGGAACCAGCAGACATGACCGGGACACACTTTGACCACTTTGAAAATGAAACTAGTAGATGTAGGCTTGAGCTTAGTTAACTTCCACTCCCAGGGCTGGGGACACTCGTTTGAAAAGTCTCTTCTCCAAATGAGTTGGACCCTCCACCTGTACTCACTCAGTGATCATCTCTTGTAATATTCAGCTCCCCTAACTTGGGGGCCCTAAGTACATTTTCGTCGCATGGAGTGCACAGTTATTTTTGAAGCTGTTTAGTTTGCCATTATTTTTTTTTCTCTTTTTTTTTTGCTGACTAAAGCGGCTTTTCCATATTCATAAAAATTGCGAGTTTTACCATTTCCTCTGTCCATGTCCTGGGCGCATTCGGAGTCCACATACACACACAAACGCCAACAAAAAGTAATCCTCTTAACGTTGCAGGACAATTCTCAGCGTATTCGTTTGACTATGGTCCAATCTCCCTGATTTTCTCATACGTATTTTGTTTTGCTGAATTGTTTCGAAAATTAAAATATGTGACAGAGGGACAGGGGGACAGGGGCACGGGGTAAGCGGGGAGGGTGCTTAGCCAAGAGCGGAAGTGGTCAGCAGGTAGAATACTGTAATTTCCAGTGCTGCAGTTGCAGTTGCAGCTCCAGCTCCTGCTCCCTGCTCCCTGCCACCGACCAAAGTCAATGGCACTCAACAAAAACATTTTGTCAAAACAAGGAAGGCGGCTGCTACTGTACGCAAAGTGGATCAGTTGATTTGTCCGGAAAAAATCCATCTGTAGTCAGAAGTGACAACAACAACAGCAGCACCGTACCCAACTGCAGCACAGATGCAGGCAGAACAGAACCGAACAGAACGGAAGTCTCTCACAAAAAAAAGGATTAGCATTTTGGTGTAGCTGTTTTCCCAATCCGTCGTGACAACAGGACCAGCCACGGATATCGTCTATGTCAAGGTTTGGGCTTACAGTGGATCGAGTCCCTGCTGCCTGTGGTCTGTGCCTACGCACACACACATATGCTCGCCGGGGAATTGAGTTCGCTGGAGATTAACCCATTGATAAATTTCCTGAGTGGATCTGGACCTGAATCTGGTTTGGTTCCAATATTAGGCCCCTAGTTAAATAAATGAAACCAAGGAGGAATCCATTGAGTGAGCGGCGATCAGTCGAAAGATAAGCGATTCACATCAAAGATATTCATAAACTGTTTATAGGGTTAGGAATTAACCTATTAAGGAGGTCCACTTTATCTATAGATTAGCTAACAGATCGAGAAATGAATTCATTACTACTTAGCTCTCTTAAAGGGTTCTGCTTAGGAGGATTTCAATAGACTTCGAACTTTTCACTTGGATCTACATATGTCTAAAGGCTTATGTTGGGATCAGATCAGTACAAAGAACATAAGGTGATTATTGTTTGTTTTGCAATCCAATCTCTGAACGTTTGCGACCCAGTCAATTCCAATTGAACATTTCTTGGCCTCTACACACCTTCTTTAGTGGTCCAACTTCTATTGTTTCATCATTAGAACTCGCACAATCTATAAGACACTTTGGCAATTGTCAGTCAGCATTTTTTCTTGATTTTCATTACAGTATTTCGCTGGATGTCTCAGCCCTCTTACCATACAACAAACAATTAAATTTTATTCAGCCGCTTGGCTCCTTCTATTCCTTGGGTGCTCAACATAATTGCTCCTTTGTCATTTCCCACAACACAAGAAGGAACAAAAAAGTAGAGAATAGAGCAGGAGAATAGGGAATAGAGAACAGAGAGAAGACGGGAGACGGGAGAGAGTGAGAGTTGAAGAGGAAAATAATACGCTGTTGATTTTCAACTCGACTTCAATTGATTCTTTCGAGGTCTCTCCTCCTTTTTTTCTCATTCATCTTGTTTGGGACAAATGGTGAGTGCTGGCCATAACCTTTGCTACTCCGCCTTCTTCATCTTCTTGTTCTTCTTCTGGAAATATATATATTTTTTAAAATTTGTCCCTTTCTTCTCCATCATTCCATCATATTTCGTTGTATCCTCGGGCATTTGAAAATTTTTAAAGAAGAATAATATTTACAAAGCGGCGCACAATAGTAGGGCAGAGCAGAGCAGAGCGGAGTGGAATGGGACGGGACGGGACAGGACAGAGCAGGACTCTAGGATAGGGCATTGTTTTCGCATTCAATTCCCTGACAACAAGCATTATTGAGAATCTGAAATGTTTCTAATGCACAAACAGACACACACACACACAAACACGAGAACACACACACGCACACAGACTCGCAACCGCCCTCTCCATCTGGCTGTCTGTGAGTGTGAATGCGCTTAGAATGTTAACCAAGCCAACCAAGCAATTCAAATTCAATTTGCCCCATTATGTGAGGCCCATTGTTCCTGGCTAAATTCTTCGGGGCTGAGAGGCTGAGAGGCATTGAGGGGCATTCAGAGAGAGAGAGAGAGAGAGCGAGCGAGCCAGGCCAAGACTGCAAGCCAAGTTAAGTGCAATACAAAAGGCAGTCAGATTAAAAATGTGCAAAAGACACCCGAGAAGGA